ACTTTTGGACCATATTCTGTTTCCTTCCTTCCTTCCTTCCTTCCTTCCTTCCTTCCTTCCTTGCTTGCTTGCTTGCTTGCGTGCCTGACTTTCTTTCTTTCTTTCGTTCCTTCTTCCTTTCTTTCTGTCCCTTCCCACCCCTGTGTCCCTTCCTCGGGCTGCTCATTGGGCTCTGCTGCTGGCGGGCAAGGCGCTGACACCTCTTCTAGCTCCTCATCGCTGCTGTCGGGACCCTGAGGCGCGAACACAACATGCATCGTTCTCTACCACTGCGACACCAAATATCTTCCCGCACAACCACGGGCAACAGGAAATGACTGGTGACAGGGCGCAAAGCTCCTTTGCTTTGCTGGCGCTTAAAGGCACTTTGCATCCACAACATCAAAGCCTTCTTGACCATCTTGATACATCAAACGAGATTTCTTTTCGACATGTTTCTCGTGTCGTTCGAAGCCTCCGGCTCCCATTGGCTTGGCAAACAGGGCGCTTCTGCCTCTCAAGTCACAAGTCTAAATCCTTCAAAAGCCAGACATGCCAGGCTCTTGCCTCGGGTTGAGACATGCCAGGCTCTTCTGGTGGTGGAGCACCAAGACCTGAACCTCAGCAACACTGTCAGTGACCAAATTTGTCACAATCTTGGTCAAATGTTTCGTTTCTTGGATGCCACGTTCCTCAAATCCGACAAATATATGTCATATTCCAAGCTTCACGAATTGGGACCCAAACAGCCTTGCAAGCTTGGCCGCAGTCCCATGAAGGAGAGCGAAGGCACCTTCGGCACCTTCGCCTCCTTCTTCAAAGGTGGAAGAGGAGGGACTGCAGGGACAACGGGCCTCAGAAAGAACATCAACTCCGAATTAAACGGAAGGACATGAGATGAGATCAGTTGGACCACCTCAAAGCGAAAGAAATCAACATCAGTCAAAAGTGTTCTTGCAAGGACTTGGCACACGGGCGGTGTGGGAGCCTCTTCAAGCTGCAGCATCGGCTGCATTGGCCGCATCATTGGCGGATCCTGTCAGCCAATGCTGCAGGCCAACTGTCCCGTCAAAGAAGCGGTACACTCAGTGGAACAACTGAACCTGTAATGGCCTCCAACCTAATAGCCATGGCCTCCAACCCAATAGCCATGGCCTCCAACCTAATAGCGATAGCCTCCAACCTAATAGCAATGGCCTCCAACCTAATAGCGATGATAGCCTCCAACCGAATAGCGATGGCCTCCAACCTAATAGCGACGATGGCCTCCAACCTAATAGCGATGGCCTCCAACCTAATAGCGATGGCCTCCAACCTACTGGCGATGACAGCAATGGCCTCAAACCCAATGGCGATGGCCTCCAACCCAATATCGATGGCCTCCAACCTACTAGCGATGGCCTCCTCCAACCTAAAAAGGATGGCCTCCAACCTAATAGCCTAATAGCAATGGCCTCCAACCTAAAAGGGATGGCCTCCAACCTACTAGCGATAGCCTCCAACCTAACAGCGATGGCCTCCAACCTCCAACCTACATAGCGATGGCCTCCAACCTCCAACCTAATAGCGATGGCCTTCAACCTCCAACCTAATAGCGATGGCCTCCAATCTGCTAGCGATGGCCTCCAACCCGCCAACCTACATAGCGATGGCCTCCAACCTCCAACCTACTAGCGATGGCCTCCAACCTAATAGCGATGGCCTCCAACCTCCAACCTAATAGCGATGGCCTCCAACCTGCTAGCGATGGTACAACCAAAAACGTCTGAAATCTGGAAGGACCAGGCCTCTGCAGGCTCTGCGGGTTCCACAGGCAAAGGCTCGGCAGGCTCGGCAGGCTGCGGTGGGAAGTCCTCCTGGCTGCGGTGGGAAGTCCTCCTGATGCCGACTGTTTCCAGCCAGTGACACATTTGTCTACCATTGGCCTCATCACTGCTGTCTGGAAGTAGTGGCTCTTGCGATGGCCTCACACATCACACACCGACTCCTGCATGAACATTTTGATGCTTTTGTGGGTGCAAGGACGCTATTAGGGGCTCCTGGCATCGCTACTAGGAGCAAAGAAGCTACTAGGGGCTCCTGGCCTTACTACGAGTAACAAGGACGCTACTAGGGGCTCCTGGGTGGGTGCAAATGACAGCTTTTAGATTCTCCACTCAACTACCCTCCAGGAATCCAGCCTTGGATCTTGTTCTGGAGCAGCCTCGTACTATGAACCGTTAGAATGTCCACTATCATGCAAAAACATTGCGCACTCCATATGGAGCTGCCCTAGTCGGTTGAAGGCCATCGCTAGTAGGTTGGAGGCCATTGGAGGCCACAGTGCTACACTCTCTTCCGTCACTCGAGACTCCTGGATGAGAGGCGTCTGCGCTTCGAGTCCAACCTCGGCGGAAGAACAATGACGAAATCTGAAGTACTCGGAACAAGAACGCTACTAGTAACAAAGGGCATCGCTAGTAGCAAGGCTCAAAAGTCCGCGCTTCGGATCTGAGAGCCACACAGGATCAAGTCGTGAGACTTCCTATGGAGGGACCATAGAGACGCTACATTTGGGGCTCCTGGCCTTACTACTAGTAACAAGAAGCTACTAGTAGCAAAGGGCATCACTACTAAGAGCAAGGATGCTACTAGTACATAGAGCATCATAGAGCTCTGTACTGAAGTGACAAATACCGAGAGGACATGAGAGGATAAGTTGTTTCTTAGAAGTCTTCTTCGCGCTTGGCTTCTCTTCTTTGTCTTTGAACGAGACAAGACTGTGGCTCATAGCCTCAGGTGGTGCAGCACCCAGTCCGCTGCATCCTGCAGAGTCGGCTAGTGCTAGTGGATGCTTTCTGCCAATCAAGATGCGTTCGTCATCAAAAGGATAAATCTCAAAGAAGAAAAAGAGTCAAAAAGCAAAGTTCACACTCAACAGTCTGCTACTTCTTTTGGGCTCTCAGAACGGAAACGCCAAGTCTGTGCGTCTCACCCAGTCTAAATCCTGACAGGGAATGACAAGGAGTGACTAAAGTCTGCAGTTCCAAGCAGAACAGAGTGACAAGCAGAACGAAAAGTGTCTTCCCCGGTCCACGTGGCGGAAGTCTCGAGGTCGGAAGGCTGCCGGGCCCACAAAGAAACGATAGGCTGCATAAATCCAAGAAGGAGGTTCACGAAGGTCACAAACCACCTCACAGCCCAAAATGTTTTGCCAGGACGGCTCTGGCAGCTCTAGAAACTGATCTGTTTCGATCCAGCACCAAAGCCCCGATTGAACTAAGTTTCGAGCACGAACGGGGAACTCCTGGAAACTGTCTCAAAAGTCACAACCAAACCTCTCAGCAATCGTTTACCTCATTCTCGAACCAAAGGAGCTACTCTATACAGAAGCTACTAGGAACAAGTGCATCGCTTCTAGTAACAAGTGCCTTACTAGTAGTAACAAGAAGCGAACGTAGAAACAATAATTAGTATATAATTAGAATTAAGTCTTATATTGTTTCTACTAGCTTCTTGTTACTACTAGTAAGGCACTTGTTACTAGAAGCGATGCACTTGTTCCTAGTAGCTTCCTTACAGAAAAAGCCGGGCCGAAACGGAGCATAGCACGACTTCCATCGCCTCCTGTCCATCCGTGAGCTTTGCCCAGCCCTTCACGATCTCCCCGGGAGGACAGTTCGCTTCACGAATCCACACCTTCACAAACTAAATCTTCAAAAACCCATACTGGCTGCCATCGCTAGTAGTAACAGGTGCCTTACTAGTAGAAACAATGTTTGCTATTAGAAACAAGTGCCACGCTACTAGTAACAATAGCAATGGCCTCCAACCTACTAGCGATGGCCTCCAACCTAGAATGATGTCGTAAGAACGGAACATGTCCGATTGCCGGGTTTTCTTCTATTGGCTCTTTATCCAAGGGCACTTTCCTTTAAAAAAAAAAGAAAAGGATGATCGTTGTTTCTTTCCGCCCTTTCTTTCCACAAAATCTGCAGCGAGAGTCCAAGGTTTGGAGCCAAAGGCGGATGTTTTCAGGCTCTACCCGCCGAGCACGCTCCACGGCCATAGCATGGTGAAGATCATCCTCACGAGTTCCTGGCACAAAGGGTCAGAAGTCACAACAAAGGACGCTACTAGGGGCTCCTGGCCATACTACTAGTAACAAAAAGCAATTAGAAACAAGAATTAGAATTAACATGAATTAACATCCATATGCAATTTAATTAGAATTGATTTAAAAGCACAGGGTCAGAACTCACAACAAACATCTTTTCTGTAAAATATAGTAAAACTGTTTGAGATGTTTGTATAGTAACAAGCTTCTTGTTACTACTAGTAAGGCACTTGTTACTAGAAGTGATGCACTTGTTACTACTAGCTTCTTGCAATGTTTGAGATATATGTAAACTGTAAATATAACTGTACAATAGTATGTGTATTTTCCGAACCTCTCTAAGTCTCTAGAACGGAAATGTGTAAGGTGATGGAACCACCGTTATGACCGCTTTCCAAATGCTCCTAAATGTGCAATCCAGATCCCTCAAAAGTCTATAATTATATAGAAAGAAACTCTCTTTCGCAAGCTCTTCAACCTTGCTTGCTTCGTGCCTTTGGGACGGATCAACGAAGGAACCTTCAGTGCAAAGGAAAGATCCTTGGAGGGCGGGCTCTCAATCTGGCGATGCACTTGTTCCTAGTAGCTTCTTGTTCCTAGTAGTAAGGCCAGGAGCCCCTAGTAGCTTCTTGTTACTACTAGTAAGGCACTTGTTACTAGAAGCGATGCACTTGTTCCTAGTAGCTTGTTGCAAGTTGGCGAGAAAATGAATGGGCAAATCGGTTCATGCATGTTGTACGGTTTACCGCATATTCTGGTGATGCCAGTTTTGCCAATATGAATGATTGAGTTTGTCTGCATCACAACAAGCCGTTGGCGGCTTCTGTGAAGATGGAGTTAACACTCTGCGCTTTCTGGAGCCAGATTGAGTGCGGCTATCCTTTAAACAATGATAAAGAGATAAGATCTTCAAAATGTGCTTATTATTTGTATTGCCAAAGTCCAAGGATCGTAAGAGATTGGCGGAAACATAGTCAGGTGATTATGGTTCGGCGCCACAATCTGGAGGACAAGCGCACATGAAACATCACACAGCAACAAGCAAGGGACTGCAGCAACAAGCTGTCTCATCAAAAGTGACGCCCTCAACTCGTGTGTCAAAAGCACCCACCTCGTGTGTAAAAACGTCCGATGTAGCAGAAATATGATCCTCGCTGCCGAGAAGAAGCTCTTGCCTTTCAGCAGAATTTGCGATTTCTAGCTGTCCCTGCAAAAAGAAAACTCTCAGAACTAGTATTGATATTCAAACCCAACAAAATTGGAAGCTTCTTCTCAATTCCTTCTCCACTGATAACAGTAGATTCGTAGTTTGTCCAAAAATGGGGTCGGCTTTTGGGCCCGGAACGCCATAGAGCGGTTCATCAGTGAGCAGTGATTGGACCTTGGCTTTCACATATCAGCGACGACACCCATCTTGGACCATCCTTGCTACTAGTAGCGTCCTTGCTCCTAGTAGTAAGGCGAGGAGCCCCTAGTAGCTTCTTGTTACTAGCAGTAAGGCCAGGAGCTACTAGTAGCGTCCTTGCTCCTAGTAGTAAGGCCAGGAGCCCCTAGTAGCTTCTTGTTACTAGCAGTAAGGCCAGGAGCTACTAGTAGCGTCCTTGCTCCTAGTAGCGATGCCCTTTGCTCCTAGTAGCTTCTTGTTCCTACGACCACACCCACCCGGACCAATGCTGGTGGAATTTGAGTGGATACCTTTTTGGTTCCTACATCTCCCGCGACCTGTTTGGGCAGCGAGTTGATTGTCAAATACAGGAACCCTGCACAGTTTGGCACAGTCGAGTTTAAGAGTCTCCAGGCTTGATTGTCCCCTTGTCTTCCTGAATTACCCATTATATAGTCAGTCGCAAAACACGTTCCAGGGATGTTCCTGGCATTGGGCCAAGGAAATGAGAACATGTTGGTTTACCAAACCACTCTCATGAAGGCATTGTCGTGGATAGAGACAGAATATTTCACTTTCGATCATATCGTCTCTTTCCCGTCCGAGCAACATCCTCACAACATCGGGAAGTAGTTCTGCTGGATCCTCATCGAAGTACTCGACCCCAAGCTGCCAGCCACAACGCAGCACGCATGGTGTGCCTGCTTCGCAAAGGAGGAAGACGGTTGTTAAGTCAGGAAGTCAACTCAAGCTGTTCATTGGCACTTCATCAACCATGTTAGGAGGCTTCGGACCAAAAATTGCCAAAGATCATGTCTTGGTCTTCAAAAACTCCGAGCAGCTGGCCTGAGAACTCAATCAATAGGTCTCTCCTTAGATGAATCCCAGCATCTGAATGCAAAGTCACAGTATGGATCACAAGGCATGTTTCTTTTGCCAGGAAACGTTACAAGTTCGTTCCAACACTCCGCAGCTTTGTGCGTGAACTTCAAATCATCCTCCACAAGCAGGTGCCACTCCTTCTTGGAGTTGGCGATTTCAGCCCAGGCCTCTCCGGGAGTGGAATCGGCTTGGCAAAGCTGGGCAAAGTCATACAGAAGTAGGTGTCAAAAGTATGTCAAATCATTTCAAGCCTATGGTTGAATATGGTTGAAGCTCGAAACAAAATGAAGTAAACTCCCTGATTGTCGGGTTCCGTCTTCCGTGGCAAGGAAGGCCTTTCGAAAGGAAAGCCAATTGGCAATCTGCTCCTGGAGCATATCGTTGTTGGCACAACAGCACTCGGAGACCAAGCCGCACCGAAAGCAGGGCGGGAACTTTGCCACGCGCCTCAGATTCAGATCGTTGCAAGTTGGAGGAACTCCGACTTCACTGTCAGCTCTCAAACCCAACAAGGTCTATAAAGGATTTTACAGCACTGTATATGTGATTGCTGAGTTGACTCAAGATTGTGAACTTGAGAATAGAAGGAGAGTCGGGCAGGATACAAGAAGCTGGAGTTTCATGAATCCAGATACTAGAAACATGCACAAAGGATGGTTCAAAGTTCCGCAGCTCGAAAGAGGGCAAAACAGCTCCGGAGTTCAGCTAAACTACATTGATCATACATTCAAACAAAAACATCCCAACAAAAATATATAGATTGTTATTATTAATATATATATATATATATGTGTGTGTTTCTTGTTTTTTGCTTTTTAGTTTTAGATGCAAAATAACCCAACGCATCCAAATGCCATGTGAGTTTCTCATTTCGGACTTCGCCGAGCCACGGGGAGTTGAACCATTTTAGCACCTCCTCATCTTCCGGTCCAAACGCTTCGACGAAGCGCGGAGCTGGGAAACCCCAGCCTCAAGCCAAACGCATTTCGAGACAAGAAAAACGTCTTCTTTCAAGGTCTAAACATCGTAAAAATGTTCTAAAGAAAAATATATAGAACCACATGTCTAAAGGCAAAAAAACGAATCAAACCAATGCCAAGCAACGGGAAAGCTCATGCTCCATATGGCGACGCCGTGCGCTGCATGAAGGCATACTCACACAAAGGACCTTTGAACACTGCACTCAGAGTAATGAAGTAGAATGCCTATTAAGCAACAACATGCAAAAACACTTTCTCTTAGGAGCAAGGACGCTACTAGGGGCTCCTGGCATCGCTACTAGGAGCAAGGACGCTACTAAGCTTATCGCCTCGCCATCAAAAACGGAGCTGTCACATCTATGACCTCGTCTGACTGCCTCTGAACGACACGAAGCAAGGATTGCAGCTTTGAGGTGTGTGCATCCGACCATGAACACAAGCGAACAGAACTGGAAAGTTTCAAGGGGAGACATTGTGACATTGACTCGCCTCATCAGCCTTTGAAGCCATTTCAGCTTGAAGTTGAAGGATGTCCACCTCTTCCTCCATGCGAACGAGAACTCGATGCGAGTCATGCGAGTCTCGTGTCAATGTGAAATGCAGTTGACCTTTGCCTATGTCCTCAGTATCCTTTGCGGTTGTAGTGACTATGTAGTGAGCGGTAGTTCAAGCCCCGAAGCTGCTTGCTACTAGAATGTCAGGCATCAAAAAGAACCAAACAACCCTTTCTAGCGATTTCTAGGGTTTCTTCCATTGGAATCCTGGAACATGTTCTCCTGCAAGAGCTCATGTACTCGGCTTCCTGGTCGGATGCCATCAGGGCCACGAAGGCGCCTCGCGTTGAAACAGATATTGTGTTTTGCGGTGCGTTCTGACACGCCTATGAAGGCCTTTCTTCTGAGGCCTATTAACTCCAATGTTTTTGATAGTATTTAAATGTATTTAAGCTTTAACAAGAACAGCTTTCTCTCGGGAGTTGCAAATCTCGGGCTTGTGTTTTGATGTTTTCGTTGGATCTTCTCGCCAGGCACCTCTGACTTCGCTTGCGGGGACGGCTCCCCGGACGGCGCACGGCCCAAGACCTGAGATGCAGCTTTTGTGAAAGGAGCGTAAGCAGCTTGGCAAACAAACGCTAGTAGTAACAGGTGCCACGCTAGTAGTAACAGGTGCCTTACTAGTAGTAACAAGAAGC